GTTTGGTTTCCTCCTGATTGCTGCTGTCAGCTTACAAGTCACATAGCCTTCATTCTTCTGTTTCAGGCATTTAAAAGCGTGATTTTACCATACCCATAATTCAAGAGCTGATCCTGGCAGCTTACATCAGCAGTAGATTTGCTCACAAGAGCCCTGAAAAGCTTTAGCATGTAATGCTTCATGAAAATTCTGCACTCCAAGTACCTATTTACTGAACCACATTTCTGGATGTCAGACTCAACATGCACTTATTTAAATGAGTTTTTTCCAACCTAATTAAAGAAAGCGTCTAATACAAATCTGTAAAACTAAATCCATGCTTGCTTAGTATTCTTGAAAAAAAAGCATCTTTACAGAATCATCATTTTCATTTAACAACTTAACTCTGTTTTTTGAGGAGGAGGCAGGAGAGAAGACTAATAAACACTAGTAAAAATCATGATATCTGTTCAGCTTCAATATTTTATTCACAGATGGCAATAAATCACAATGAATGCAGAAATTAATATAACAAATGACATTTTTCTTCCCCAAACTGGATGGAAAGGTAAACAGCTTTAAAGCTTGTAAGAACGTGCTTTTAATGATGGATCGCTTGGGTTGTGCTTACGAGAAACATATCTCATATAAAGCATGATCTTCAAAAACATAGTATTGAAAATAAGATTTGAATGAATCCTTCAATTAACTTTTTACCAGTAAAATAAACATCCAATATTTTTAATCACTGGTATGAACCTAAAACTTTGATATCAACACAAAAACTCATCAGTTCCCAAAGAGTTTTTACATTAAAGAAAGTTAAAACAGTTTTGTGTCCAAATTAATATGAATTTGTAACTTAGTTTAAGTTCTATCCAGCTCAAGCTGGAAGTGTTCAAGCCAACATCACTGCAAAAGAAAATTCTAAATTTCTAGAGATTGCAGTAGAAAATTATCACATCTTAGGCAGTTTTTAAAGATTATATATGAAACCTATTGCTGTATTTATAAACATTTTGTTGACCCTGGTTGGATACCAGCTGCCTCCAAAGCTGCTCTATCACTCCCCTCCTCATCTGAACAGGGGAAAGAAAATAAAAGGCTATGGGTGAAGATAAGGGCAGGGAGAGATCACTCACTGATTGCCATGATGGGAAAAACAGACTCCACTTTGGTAATGTTAGAAAATTTGCCCCATCAAAATCAGAGTAGAATAATGAGAAATAAACCCAAATCTTCAAAACACCTTTCCCCCATGAATGGGATCTACAGTCAGTTCATCACACATTGCCTCAATTGCTCCTTCCTCCTCGGGGGGAGAACTCCTCACACTCTTCCCCTTTCCAGCATGGAGTCCCTCCCACTGGAGACAGTCCTCTACCAACTTCTCCAAACACAGTCCTTCCCATGGACTGTAGACCTTCATGAACTGCTTGAGCATGGGTCCCTTGCAGGTCACAAACCTGATCCAGTGTGGGCTCCTCTCTGCACAGGTCCTGTCAGAAGCCTGCTCTAGCACGAGCTTCACAGAGGGTCACAGCCTCCTTCGGGCACCCACCTGCTCCAGCATGGAGTCCTCCACTGGCTGCAGGTGGATCTCTGCTCCACTACGGACCTCCATGAGCTGCAGGACAGCCTACCTCACCACGGTCTTCACCACAGGCTGCTCTGGTGCTTGGAGCACCTCCTCCCACTCCTTCTTCACTGACCTTGGCATCTGCAGAGTTACTGTCGTGTAAAGTAACTTTTTTCCCTTCTTGATGCTACCAGCATCACTGATGGGCTCAGCCTTGACCATCAGTGGGTCTGTTTTGGAGCTGTCTGGCACTGGCTTTATCAAACATTAGAGAAATTTCTAGCAGCTTTACACAGAGGCTGCCCCTGTAGCCCTCCTGCTACCAAAATCTGACCACGCCAACCCAACAAACTTCTTTTCAATCTTGCTTGCACATTTTTGCCTCTTTAGCATTCCCTTCAGCAAACAAACACAGCTTTCATTGAGCTGAGTGAGAATGAAAATTACTGACTCAGTACTGAACAGTATAAACACCGTCTGCTACTTCTGAAAAGTACAGTTCATCTTCACCTTCCACATAGTTGCTTTCACAAAACAACTGAGTTTTTTTGAATGGAGATATTGAATGGGAGGAAAAGTAACAGTCACTTGTATTTTTATTTGGAAGTCTTAGTAGGCACTATGCTTTTCCAGTGAAAACTGCTGTGTGATTGAAAAGGAAAAACCTGACAATCCAAGGCATATATCTATGACTGTCTATCAACAGGAAAGTCAGACACTGTCTTCAGATTTGTTGATATATTCCCATATCACACTGCAGTTTAGCACCAAGGAAAAGGAGAACCAATACATCTGCCTAACACATCATCACTGGTCAGTAGCTACTGAACGGCAGCTTCCAGAAATGGAGTTACAAATTATTCTCATTGCTTTTCTATTTATATTAGTTCCCTTTGCATTGTATAGCATTATTTTTAGCAACTATTTTCTATAGCAAAATCCTTTACTCCTTGAGTTGTAATTCGGTAAGCTTCTCTTCCACACACATTTGCTTCATCTCTTTCATCACCATTTGCTCTGAAGTCATTCTCTTTTAGCCCTTTATTTTTTATACTGCATCCAGACACTAGAGATCAATGGTTTTTGTCTTCCAGAGAAAATCTATGTCTTTTTTAAGAGTGGATTTTTTTTCCATCACTTCCTGCAGGAAATATAAGATAATTTTATACAAAACAATGACCAGAAAAACAATATAAAGACATGTGAAATCAACAACTCTTCACCACAAGCCTCCTTACTAGATCTAAATCTCCCCAAATTTCTCTCAGCAGCTCCAGGCCCAAGATACGACTCCAATTCTCCTTTTTTCCATACCTCCTTAAGAGACACTACTAAACTGACTTTGCTTCTTAGAAGAAGCTTTCTGCGATAGATATTTTAGAACAATGTTTACATACATAAATATTCCAAGGATCATTCGTCTTCCAAGAACGCTGCAAGTAAAAGATACTCAGCATTTCTTCACTATTGATTTTGTAATGCTCTTTTAGCTTTTATTGCAGTATTTTCTTTAGGATTTCCCAGTTAACAAAGCCATATCACTATGCTAATAAAAGGAACAACCAGGAGGTACAAGTGGAAGGGAAATTTAAAGCTTTGACTGCTTGAAAATGGTACCATTTGACATTATGCAGAGAGCTTTGAAGGGTTCTCCAAGAAGACGTGTTCTGACAAGAAAAAATTGCAGAGCTGTGGCCTTCCATGCAATTTCATTTTCAATATTTACGTCCTACCAATTATTACTTGTAAGGTTAACAGTCTGGTCAGAGTAACCACAGAAGGTCTGCTAGGTGTCAGAGGCACTGCATATACGGAAACATATATCAATAATACACAGAAGAGGCAGTCTTGACATCCAGTGAAGCACCATTATGAAGTCATCACTTCTTGAGGTGAAGCAAGAATCCACACAACGACCCTTCCCCCCCAGGAAACTGTCACATCCTTCCCGGGATTTCTGCCACAGGCATGTTCTCCCTAGAATCTAGAATCATGTTATTCCATTTTTTTCTGTGTCTTTTACTGTTCCCTCTTCTTCTTTTCTCTGTCCTGTATGTATGTAAGAGTCACAGGCTCCCACAACACTACCTTCAGACTTCCCTCCTACAGGCACTGCCCCTTCTTTGACTCTTCCTTAATTTACAGTTGTCTTGTTCTTACCCTTCACCTGTCCTTATACTCTGTTCTCACACAATCTTCTTTCAGTGCAATCAACATCCTCAGAAACCTAGCTCCCCCTAAAGATTTATAAGCTTTCACTACCTCAAAATCTATCATGGCCAATAATATCAATCTTGGACTTGCAGTGTAAGATATTTCCCTTTTATTCCAATGTTCCTCAGGTGTTTGGATCTTCCACACCCCTTATGCCTCCTGATGTGCGTGTGCGCATAAATGGATAACTTCCCTTGTCTGCCCGTTATCAAGAGAGATGACAAGGTAAAATGCAAATAGCAATCCATTTCGAGGAAGGAAAAAAAAAAAAAGATGCTGGTGAAAAAGCAGAGATAAAGCACTATCTAATTCTGAGCTCATAAATTTGGATTATTTGCTGTCCAGCTAATCCTGAAACCTGCTTAGGGTTTTCCTGCACATCCACTCTCAGGGCTAAAGGGCAGCTACACTTTGAGTAAGGATGCAGCAGTTTATGTTGAAACATTATTATCAAAGATAAAAATCTGCAGAGTATTCCACAGGGTGATGTATTTTATCTCTGATGAGACACAATGTGCTGTAATTATTTTGTTTGAAACAAGTATGCACTTTCGTATAGGAACTGGAGATGATTAATAAAGATAATTCTGAAAATTTTCAGGTTCTGTTCTTTCATGACAGTTTTGAGTGTTTGTATTACTCCCTTTAAAAGCGCCTTAATCCTTTGAATAGTTCTTACTATTGTGCTTATTACATATTAAGATTGAATTCTCCTACTAATTGTCTGCAGTGAAGTTCAAAAGGATTAGTTGCTATAGCAATACTTCATGTTGATTCAGAAATTAATGATAAAAGAAGTGGCAATTAGTACTATTAATTTTTACTAGAGAAATATGGGAAAGTGCTACAAGGCTGCTGGCCAAAAAAAAAATAAAAAAAAAAATAAAAAACCAAACCAAACAAACAAAAAAAGCAGTATGATTTTGCATAGGTGACCAATATAGAACTTGCAGCCATCAAAGCAAGCATAATGGATATTTCATGCTTCAGTATGTGCAGCATGAGTATTGCTGTCTTAATACCTCAAGACAGACCCAGTCTCTGTTGTGTTTCAGGAATTCCCATAAGATCACAAGGATGTGTCTCCTTTCATACATAATGGCACTCGGTGGGACAAGATCCTCTACATTAGCATAAGGAAGAGAAATTTAATACTTTTCTCTGTAGATTTGACACTGTTCTTTCAGAGTTTTGCAGAGACCTTTCTTTGGCATTTTTAGTGAGTGCAAGTATGTTCATTCAAGACAATGACCTGCTCACTCTCATTCCTGAGTAATAGCCATGAAGCGGATAAGTGTTTTCCAGGTCACACGAAACCGAACGAGGTAATTAATATTCTATAACAACACTACAATTATCTCACCAAATTATTTATTATTTGATTTTGTTGCAGCCCAGTACCTTCTACAAGGTATTTAAGGTTTCAGAGAGAATTTTCCTTTTTTTTAGGCTTGACTTGCTATTTAAATCCCATAAAGGATAGTGTGTCTCTGCAAACCTGTTTAAAGTGTAAGGCTGAAGGAAGTGGAACACTTTCCTACTTCAGTATGTATTTATTAAGATTTTTTTTAATGTACAATTTGACAGCCTTAATAGTGTATTTCCTGCTACTAGAAACCCACATAATTACTGAACTCAAATTTACTTATTTCATAATGAAATGATGGAGGTTTTTTATAAAGTCTTGTGGATGATAGATAGCATCTTTTTCCCCTTCAAAACTGTCATGTTTATATCCTTTAGATGTTATAGCTGATAGCTTCTCAACGTTCCTGCATGAAAGTCTGAGGTTTCTCAAAACCCATTAATCCTAGATGCTGGAAGGATCTTCTGCTTTGGACAAGGACATACAAGAATAAGGAGTCTGCAGGACAATGTATGATGTCACAACTGATGTCACATTTGACCTGAAAAGGGGTCCCTTCATATATCACGTGGAGCCTTAAAGGTCCGTGAAGAACCTTCAGCATCTGGCTCCTAATGCTGTCAAATAAGGCAGTAATGGACAAAATGTTCAACACAAACACAGCTAGAGCTAAGCAGGTAAACCACATTGCACAAAACCCCTTGGCCAACCACTGGCATTGAGATTAGATAATTTTCTTTAACAGAAGTCATGTACATACAGAGACATGCACTAGAAACTCCAAGCACTTTTTTAATCCCTTCCTTCCAAGTTTCTCAGTCCTCTATGAACTTGTTTGTTAGAGATAAACTTCTGACTTTTGTATTACAAGCTTTTGTATGTCACAATTAATCTTTTTCCCATGGAGATATACTGGGAATGCAGAAGGACAGATTATCATCTAAATATGGTGAGAGATTAACCTTACACATCATCACACAGAGTCCTTACCCAGAGGGGGAAAGAAAAAATAACCAGAAATATAGATCATTATAGAGCCCAATTCCATCAACTCTTTTGAATTTAACTGGACAATTCTGAACCCCGTGGTCACATTCACTATGCCCACAAGAACTAGCAGAGCAGCCACAACTTCCTGGAGATCAAGTTTAGGAATAATGCTCACAACAGAGATCGACCAGACGGTTGGTCTGCATGGACTCTGATACTGTGACTATAGTGATGTATTGCACTTGGGTAAATGAACAAAACTTTGAATTTGCTTGCAGGGAAGTGTTCTAAATTAAAAAATGTTAGGTTTTTGTTTATCTTTAGAATGAAAGGACAAAAAACAGAAAAGGAAAGGTAATGGCATTGACAAGTGGCTGCATTTTTGAATAATATCCAGGAAAACACTTTCTGATTATCCATACCCTAGCTATATTATTAAATATTTCTCTATTACTATCTCCATCAAGATTAATTTACAGAAGTATCAAGCTGCCTCTAGCTCTCATTCTAGCAACTGATTATTTATCATTTGTAATATAACTGACATCTTTTGTTTTTCCAAAGATTTTCCAACCACAGAAAAGACCTTGCCTTCAGTTTGCAAATATTTAATAAAGAAATTCACTTAAGCCTACCCTCCTTTACACCAACAGATGCCTGCAGTATGAAACCACACACTTAGAACATGCAAGAGGGTTAATCGTTCTAACACACAGTAACTTCAACATTTGACATTCAGGAGAATGCCTTCTCTTTTTGCCCTCACTGAATCTCCTAATCAGGGTTCCATATACAAGGTTGTGTTACAGTGGCACTCAACCAAGGTACAAGAAGTATGTTGCAGCCTGCTCTTATCCTGTCTTAAAAGAAAAATAAGACAGCTCCTGAGCATGAAGTCGTAGTTTAATCATGGCACACCAGGCTTATACTAGATTTATTTATAACGTTTTGCACCCCAACACCATCAGGTACATAGTTTCGTACATGCTACAACACTGCTGGATGGACTGAGAGGCATAATTTGGGCTTCTAGAGGTGTAGGTGATGGACACTCTCCCAGCATCTCTAACTGACAGCTTCACACATTACAGCAGCCGTGCAGTCTGGCAGAATTTATATTCTTCAATTGAAGACACAGAATGAAGTTACAGGGAATGTAGCAACACTGTTGAATGGATTTGCAAAACAGACTACTTTTGGTGTTACCAGGCTCTTTCTTTTTATTCCAAGCTTACAGATCCATTTAAATATCTGTTACATATTCATAAAATATGGTACTTAAATACAGATAAGAATACTGAGATGGCACTGCATATCCTTCCCCACATATTTTTATCCATACTGTTCCTTATTTTAAAGCTTTATTATATATCTTCACTAAATGAAAATCTGCCATTATAGTATGCGACGCTATTAATATTAGTAAACTGTTCTATCATATTATGTACTAAACTAAGCAACCATGCGTTTACATGCACCGAGCAGAGCTTTCATTGCCTTCAAATATTGCACAAATACTTTGTCTTATCCTCAGAACACCATCTCCTCTTAATGGCAAACAAGCTGTAATATGATAATGAACAATATTAATTAAGGTCATCCAGACCACTCAGACTTTTTCCAAGCATCAAGCACCTTTTGCACCCCTTTCTGAGTCACATAACGCTGCGTAAGCACAGGAATTGTTGGCACAAAGTACACATTTAGGTTGTCTGCTACAATCAAGACAGAGAGAACAGGAGATATGACATATGAACCATAATGCTGTAGTATTCGTGTAGAAGAAATTTTTTACCTTAGTCATCACAAGATTTTCTTTAGCATTTAGGATTTGATCCTGAAAACACTGATAGCACTAAGGCTAAAACCCAAATACTAATGCAAGAAAGGGAGGTTTGAGAGTTTTAAAGCAGTTACTATAGCTTTGGAATGAAGAGTGTAGTAAGTGCAACAATTTTTTACACCAGCTTACAAATTAACCAAGAGATTTTACTCCTTAATACTAATACTTAGAACTGTAATTTAAGGCACCATTGAGCACTGTGTGATGTTTCATATGGTCATGGCTGGTTTTCACTATGAAAACAACTACTGAGGCTGCTACTCTAAAATGTATAAAGCTGTTGGATGCAGACTATATTACTATGAGTAAGATGAATTTTTTTCAGTAACAGAAAGAAAAATGGACTGCACTTGACAATATACAGATATATGATACAAAGTATGCCATTGGTTCCCTCCAGAAAGTTACTATTCATCTACTTGAAAATGAGATGAATTTACACCTCGTGACAGTTTCTGCAATAAATTAGGTTTTATTTCTTTTGAATGAAACATGAAAGGATAAAAAACCGAATTTCTGGGTTTGGTGGCAAAGTGCATCTGGTAGAAGAGGAGAACTTGCAACATGTTTTTATATAGCTGGCAGTAAGTCAGATGAATTTCATACCGGATTATCCCTGGAGCATTTCATTTCTTTGTTACTAAAATCCAGCAAAACTGCTACATTCAAAACAACCCAAGAAAATTGTTTTCAGTGTTTCAGCTCAAGTCAACTGATTCTTGTTTCCTAATGCTGGAGTTACTCTGTTAACATGCACAGGACACCAACGTAAAAACACATTACTCTGAACGAGATTCAGCACTGGAAAAATGTAGTCTTCATAGTGCTCTATGGGGCAATACACATAAAAGCTTCTGGTAATAACAGAACTATATTATTTTTTTTTTTTTAAGAAGAGAGCAAAAAACATGAAAACTTTTTTAGGCACAACATCAGAAAACCCTGCAATACTTCTTTATTGCCACGGAAAATTGCTACTGTATGAGTGACCTGCTTGATTTCAAGCTGAAGCACGTTTCTGAAAGTCACCAAACCAGGCTTCCAACGTGGAAAAAGCAGCGTTTCCTACTGCAGTCCTGGTCCAACACAACTAAGTAAACCAAATACTGCCAGATTAAATATAGAGGCAGGCGAAATAAAATCAATATATCATTCACTAACTTTGAGGTGTATAGGTACATAAACAAAAAAAGAAAAAGTAGTAATATTTCAGTCAATGTAGGATGTAAACACAAAAAAATATATCACTTGGGCAACATCCTCAGGACATATCCTGACTTCTGTTTGCTGTTTTTAAAGTTTCTCAACCTGTGTCAGCAATACTGAAGTTATAGTTCTTCAGTCTGCAACTACTTCTATATATGGTCAGCACAGATATTTGCTGGGATTTGCGTTTTTCCAAAGTAATCCCAGACAATCAGAAACCAGTTAATCAGTAAGAAAACCCGCATGAGTGGATCCATAGCCCTTCACATGAGTCCATTTGGGCTTCTCTGCCCCAAGACTTACACAGCAAATGGAATACTGCTAGTTATGGTTTTAAGTAAATACTCGGGCTCCGCTTCAGACACTCCCGTGGGTGCGCTGGCAGCGCACACCCTACCCCCCGCTACCTTCCCAAACTCCGGCCCGCACCCCGGTGCGCGATCCCCGTTGGATCCAGAAAGGAGCGGACATCGCTCACAGTCGCGGGGACGGTCAGCGGCTGCCCTCGGGGAGGCCGCGCAGCGCTGCGCGCCCCCGCATTGCCCCCGCGGGACCGGCCCGACAGCCGGCGGCACGTCGAGCGCTGCCCCGGGGCTCCGGGGCGAGCCGCCGCAAGACAAGACGCCGCGCTGTGCGGCGGCGGCCCCCGACCTCTCCGACTCAGCGGAAGGGCGAGCCTACGGGCACCTCGCGGCGCTGCTCGAGGGGCGCAGCGCTCCCCGGGAGCGGCAGCTCCGCCGAGCCCCGCGGGGAGCGGGGCAGCCCCGCCGCACTCCGCGGAGCCCTCCGGCGGCCGCCGCCGCTGCGACCGCCTGAGCCCCCCGCCCCGGGAGGGCAGGGAGCAGCGGGCAGGGGGTCCTAAGGCTCCTCACCCACCCCGCCGCAGGGACCGTGTCCCCAACTTTCCCCGCGGGGAGTCCCACCGCGCTGCCGGCCCGGGCGGCACCGCACGCCGCTCCCCACCGCTGGCAACAGCGCACGTAAGAGAGGACAAGCAAACAAAAGCCCCCCAGACCCTCTCGAACCGGCGTTTCTCTTCCTTCCTACCTGCCCGGCTCCCGGCGACCCCACAACGCCCGCTCCGCGCCGAGCGCTCCCCGCGGCACCCAGGTGGCGTTAGGAGTGTGCTTCCCACGGGCGGCGCGCCCCCGGCGGCCGGCACATCCCCCACCGGGCGCCGGCGGGAGGAGGGCGCTCCGCACCCGCCCGCGACACGGACACCGCCACCGACACCGCCGCCGCACCTGTGCCCGGGCAGCGGCACCGCCCCTTCAGTGCCGGCCCCCGGGTGGGCGGGGGCGCGCCGGGACCGCTCGCCCCGCGCCCGCCGCCGCCCTCCCCATGCGGCCGCCACACGAGGGACACCCCGGCCGCGCCGCCGCCGCTCCGCTCATTGGCCCGAGCGCCGTGAGCTCACGGAGCCCGGCCCCGCCCGCCCGCCGCCGACCCCAGCCCGGCCCGGCCCGGCCCGGCGGGTGCCCCGGGGTGGCCCTGCGGGGAACCCGCGGCTACCGGGCGGCACCGCCGTGGCGCGACGTCGGGCGGCCCGACGGCCCGCGGCGGCTCTGAGCTGGTGGGACACTGGTGGGGACGAGCCGGCGGGGGTCTGTCCGCAGCCTTTGCCTCGGGGTGCGGGGAGTTAAAAGCAGAGGGCTGCCAAAGCCATCCCTTGCAAACAGCCTGCGAAGTAGCAGGGACTCACAGAAAATGAGATTATGTGGGAAAACCTTCTGTCAGTCTGCCATGGTTTCTTCTCTCTTTTTTTTTCTCCTTTTTTTTTCTTTCTCTATTCCCCCCTCCCCTTTTTAAATCTGATTTTATTGGCTTTAATTGAGATATATGAGCACCTACTGCTTGAAGACTGTGGTCCTATTTGTGGAGAGTAAATCGTTTCCCATTGCATATTAAATATGCCTCTTAATGAGGCATATAACATCAACCAAATGACGTATCATTATATAGCTCCATAACATGTATTAATATGGTATTTATTCATTACTATCAACTTTTCGAAAGGCCTGCTTAAAATATTCTCCCCTCTCAGCTAATCAAGATATGCTACAAACTCACAGGAACCCAAATAATTTATTAATATATGCTTATACTCAATTAAAATATGTTGTATCAGAAGAACATAAGAAATCTGCATTTTAAAAGATCCTGTAAAAGTATGTTATAAATTATTGCATCAAACTGAGGTGTCTCACACTGTCGTGTTTCTTCTGTTGTAAAAGATTAATAAATTTAGCTTGAAATTATTCAACACAAAGAAAGTTCAGCACTTAGCACTTGTTTTTGTGGGCTGCATTCCTCGCCACCAAGTTGCTATGGCATAAAGGAGCAGGATGTGTTCTGCTTGCCTGCTTGTGTATTTCTTGGCTACATGTAAGAGAAAAGTTTACAAAGTAGTGCTCTGGAGAATATAAACAAAACAGCAGTATATCCTTTCAAGGGCACCAATCCTCCATTAATCTTACAAATAATATTGTTTCAATTATCTACTACCTTCAGAATGAAATTTTAAAAACTTGGAGGTCCATCTTGCACCTCATGTATTCAGGATTACCTGCCCACTATGCCCTGACACCAGGGTTTTCACAGAACATGCCATGGGATCCTTAGTGACAAATGGTTATGACCAAAGACTGTGAAAGAATATATAGAAATTTAGGTACTAAATTTTCAACACTTAGAAAGAAAAATTGTTAGTTTGCTGGTTTTAAATTAATTCAATGAGTAATTCACAACACTCTAAAAAATACCAGTGGGATGAAAAAGCAAAAACTGAAAACTATTTACATATAAAAAAAATTAAAGAATTTCGGTGTGCAAAGATTCCTCTGCTTTTGAGCTGTGGGTGTATTTCTTTACTGCCCACCTATGCTTGTCCTTTTATTTTGCATCTCAAAATAGCATCAGAAATAGAACCATACCCTGCACTACTAAGCTGGGGTTTTGGTGCAGCCGCAAAAACCCATGACTGAGTTGTCTCAGGTGACCACTCACAGTGCAGTTGTCCTTGGTGTTTCTGCGCCTCAGCTGCCGAGGGCTCAGCACCCCTACATGTCAGAGATGAGCTCACAGGGTGCAGCCCTGGCTTT